TGGTGTGTGGGGGGGGGGGGAGGTGTGTCTGTGGGGGTTATAATGTAATTGTCCAGAGTATTTTTGACAGGCAGGGTGTATCTTTCAGTTATTAATTTCTAACTCTTCTTAAAGAAGGCGAAATAAGTGAAGTATGACTAACACTTCTCTGTTTTCTGAGAATGATAGATGTGGTAAATGTGTAAGATGTAAAGGGGGCCTGCACACTAGTAATGCCTTTCGCTTTTCGTTAATACCCAAGGTAGCTAAAGAGCACTGCAAGCAGCTTAGCGAGATTGGACTGGATCTCACCTTCATCATTCATGCCCTCCTGGTAAAGGATATCAAAGGTGCTTTACAGAGCTACAAGGATATCATCATCGAGGCCACCAAGCACCGCAACTCTGAAGAAATGTGGAGAAGGATGAACCTAATGACTCCAGAGGCGCTGGGAAAACTCAGGGAGGAGATGAGGAGCTGTGGGGTAGGCAATTTTGACCAATACACGGGTGATGACTGCTGGGTCAACCTTAGCTATACCGTAGTAGCTTTCACTAAGCAGACTATGGCCTTCTTGGAGGAAGCGTTAAAGCTTTACTTTCCAGAGCTGCATATGGTTCTTTTGGAGAGTCTCGTGGAAATCATCCTGGTGGCTGTCCAGCATGTTGATTACAGTTTACGGTGTGAACAGGACCCTGAGAAGAAAGCATTCATTAGGCAGAATGCATCCTTCCTGTATGAAACTGTCCTTCCTGTTGTGGAAAAAAGATTTGAGGAAGGAGTTGGAAAGCCAGCCAAGCAGCTACAGGATCTGAGAAATGCTTCAAGATTGATGCGTGTAAATCCAGAAAGTACCACCTCTGTGGTGTGAAGTGACCTAACTGTTCTTATGAACAGAGTGTGAAAGTACTTACTGAAAGTGTTGTACATTGAATATATGAACTAAATGGTTTTTTTGAGTCCCTGGCAAATGCAGAAGTCTAACTGCTGCATTCCAGAAGCTGAAGACTTAACAATCAAAGTCTGCAAGGATGCAATGTTTTTCTTGGTGGATGGCAGGTAGGGAAGCGAGAATTAGGTCGAGGTCACGTGTCCTTGGACAGTATATCCTGTAAGAATGGCTTGTGTAGTGTTTGTGGCTTGGGAAATATGATAATATACAATTTTTGGCCAGATGCTTGTGAAAGTCTTAAATATACGTACACCATATGGCAGGAAAAGATCACTTCTCATCACGTCACTGTAGGAATTCTTTTTTAAGGCAGTGTTCTGGCAGGAGGGGAAGTGCTGAAATGCTCCTAGGGTGTGGTATTCAGTGAGGCACATCCACCATCCAGATGTGACTCAGCACTGCAGATAAACAACATGGATTTGCACAGTCTGATTTGTTTGGTAGCGGTGCAGACTCTTCAGTTTCTCCAACACTCAAATTCTCTTCATTCATTTCAGAGGCAGATATAAATTAAAAATGGTTTTTGTATAGGTGTTTGTGTTTGGGTGAAGGGGCTTCTATTTAATAAGCTGGCCTGTCAGCTGAAATTAACAGCTCTCTGAAAGCAAGCTTTCTGCTGTCAGAAACATCTGTTCCCTTCAGAGAAGAAGCGAGAATAACTTTCTTCCCTTCCCCTTTGTGTTCCTCTTCCTTGTTTTCTCATGGACTTCATCAAATGGACTTGACCCCAAATGAAGTATGCACTCTTGCTTGAGGTGCTGTCATAAATGCATTATGGGCTATTACCTAGTGATATAAACCATAGTGAAGAGACATAAATGCTCTTGAGATGTGCAGGGCAAGGAGAGGGTCTGAAGGTGCTGTTTCATTTGGAAGAAATAGAATGCTAGCTTTGCTGTACAGAAGCAGCACACGATGAAGAGACTGGGTGTGAGGATTTTTGTAAATGATGCGGTCTTCAAAATACACACTCTATTTCTCCTGCAAATATCAGTATTGTTTCCTGTAATACAGCAATAACCAAGAAGAACTATCTTTTTTGCAGAAAACACAAGGACTGTATTTGGTTGGGAACTCTAATGTAGATGGGAGAAGTTTATGCAAATACTTGCTTGTTTGGATTGAAGGTGATGGCTATCTCATTCAGTATGTGTCTCTGAAAATAAAATAAGCCAAGTCTTGTGTAAAGGCTGGCTTTAGAAAGCTGTCAGGATCATCTTCTAAGCTGTGTAAACTTCCACTTTAGTGCAGACTTTCTTAATTGTGAGAAAATCCTGTTACAGCTGAGTAACGTTGTATTAGACCCTCAGTAAGTGTTCCTAACTGCAATAATTGAGCATCCTATTCCTCTTGCACTTTGAAATGAAAGCTTTTGCAGTTTGTATCATGGTAGTGAATGCCCTGTGACTGCCTGAAGAAACAAAAGATATCAGTAGTAAAACATTCTGCATAACTGCTTATACTGGAGCTTCTTCATTTCTCCCTATCTTCACCGTGATAATTCAGTGCAGTTTTCACTTCAGTGGCTGGTTTTCTCTCTCTTGCTCTTTGGATGCCTTTTGAACTGTCAGATTTTGCAAAGCATCCTGCTGTCTCTGCTCACTTGCTCTCCAGTTTGAGTCTTTTCCTAGCAAATCACAGGAAAAAAATGTACAAAATGGTTTGAAAGGGTAACTTGGTGCTTTTAGCTAAAACTGATTGAAAACCAGTTTTATTTGAAGGTACAGGAACAGTGAGAGAACTTGTGTGAGCATGTTATCTTCAAGAGAGAGCTGCACAGGTGTTATTTCACTAGTGAACCATCTTTGATGCCAGAACCTAGTGAAGTATATCGAAATAATATATTCTCTGTCATCTGTCCAAAGCGGGCAAAGGTAGCAACCTGGCCTTGCTTAATTTGAGAAATATTTTCAAGTGGATTATAAGTGAGAGCTCTCCATGATGACGGGTGTTTTGGAGGAGAGGGAGAAGGGAGAGCTTTTTTTCTCTGGAGATAGGTGTATTTTATTGTTTTCTTTACAGCAGAAGAAAACATCTTGTGAGCACAGAATAAGTACAGATGAGCCTTATGTTTGGTTTGGGGTTTTTTTTTTCTGTGCAAGAGAAGGGTAAGCTGTGGAACTGCAGCTCAAGACTCTGATTATTGTGATGCTTGAGGATTTTGTGTAAGAAGCTGAATTGTAGTTTACTGATTCCCAGCTCTGGCATAAGATTGAATAGGAGGAGAGCACTGTTCATGCCTCTGTTGCAAGCTGGTGTAGCACATCTTATCCTCGTCAGAGGGTGAAATGTAGAATGTAATTCTGCCATGTGCTCTGTTATGCCTCTGTCACCGCTCCCTTTGTCAATCTATTTACAGCACGCAGGGCCTGCTGATTTTGTCTCTGCCGTCATTCATGGAGCAGTGGGCTTATGTGGATGTTGGTTTTAATGAATCAGGGAGTCTGGTCTTTCTTTGGGTGATCAAATATCATGTTCATGTGCCTGTCACAATTCAAACACACGTGTGGATTTGTATAAGCTGCTGTAGGTAGCATCGATATTTTGTAACTTGTGAATCTATTCAAGTCATAATAAAAGAAAAACAGTGACTTAAGGAAAATGGTGTGCAATTAAATTAAATGCGCTTTGTATGTCAATTCAATTAACAGAAAAAGTGGACATATGCTGAGTCATGGTTTAATAAATTTCAGATTTGCAGATGGTAATTTGGAATGGCACTTTTCCTGAGCTGTACACTTGTGGGGACAGTGTTGTTCAAGTTGAGATTTGCAGTAACTACTGAGTAATACAATAACAGTTTTGTTGATTTGGGGGAGAACTAGTTGGGGTTTGTTTTTTTTTTTTTTTAGACAATTGCATATAAAATCTGGTTTCCTTTAGCTGCTGTGAGAAAATTGTGATGTGTAAAATGAAGATTTTATTTTTAATTCAGATGAATTTATGTATTAGAATTTAATGCAATAACTTTTCTGAACAGTGGGGACCGTGTATTAAAACTTTTGGACATACAACACTAGTGGTGTATTTCTGTTTTTATTAAATCATCATCAGAAGGGGGATGTTGGTTCAAAGTTCAAGTCCACTAATAAGTTTCCGGTGAAGTCAAAGAGCTTCAGGTCAGTCGTTTGTGAGGGAGATGTAAGAGGCAGTGAGGTGATGAAAGCCAAGTGATGTCACTTCAGTTACATTCTTACAAAGTCAGCCTGTGGATTAATAAGATGAAGAAAATGTTTCTCAACATTGTACCTGATTCAAATTGAGGGGAGGCTGTACTCTAGTCTAGTGGGACTTTGGGCGGATATGTGAGGCCTTATCCACACCAGGGCAGCATAATGCTATAGGATTTGTTACCTTTCAGAGATTATTTTGTCACTGGAGTCTCTTAACTTGAATGCTGAATGCAGTACAGTCTGTCTCCTCACTAGGTGGAGTTTTGTCCCTTGAAACCTCAGTATGCCGCGCGCAGGCATGGACATCAAATCTGTGCTACCTCATGGCGTGGCTTGGGATGTTTTTGTAGCACATTGGAGAATGAAGGTGCTGCACCGAACAATTCAGATGTTAGGGTCAACTCTTTTTTCCTTCCTTGGTAGTGCTTTTCCTCTGCATTTTCTAATTTTTGTACTGCTAATATCTTAATTCTTCACGTTTTCCTTTCCTGCTGTGTTTCTATACCGTCAGCAGGCATCCTGCAGAGGATCTCAGCTTTCTACTTTTTCTAAAGGTATGTACCAACATGTGACTTTTGTTCTGCCTGAGAGACACTGCTAGACTGCAAGCCCCTGCAGAGATGTGAAAAGTTGCTTGTCCCAGCTTCAGCTGTCTCGTGTAAGATGTTCAGCTTAATGACTTCTCAAAGTCAAGCGTGTGTGACCTCTTGCCATTTTACTTCATTATTGGACTGAAATTCCAATGAGAGCTCATGCTTATAATGCAGCTTTGCACTCCAGCACAACAATGCAGAAGGTTCCCACCACCAGTCTTCATAACTTACGCACTCTTCACATTCCCTTTGCTGCACAACTCTTGTGTTTTAATTGGGTTACCTTTTACTCAAAAATACTAGTAGTTCTGCAAACTCCCAGTGTGTTTTCTCTGAAGAAAATCAAATCCAGAATGGGGCTTATCTGTCAAGGAGCTTTGTGAGCATAGCCTGTAGATATACTTTTCCTCAGAGGTTTAAGAGTTGTGATTTGCATTAAATCCCTACAAACTCTGAAAGGTAGTGGACAGAGAAACACTGCAAACTATGGAAAGAATGTTTCCCAATCTTATGTAGTATACTGTTTTTGTGAAAATAGATTTACACCCTTTATAATTGCAAGGGATGCTGACTAGAGTAATAGATCAGAGTTTGATTGAGCCACCTTTGGCACAGAGTAATTACCTTCTGAGTATTTAGGAAACTTTGCTAATACAACTTCAGTGGCCTCAACGCGCCCTGTAATACAGTTCTCAACTTCAGGGTTACAGGCTGAATTAGGTTCTCTGCTACAGATGTGTGCTCTGTTTGACACAGCAGAGAGAAAGTACTGGCAAGAGGCCTGCCCTGTGCTGACCACTGAGCACTATTCCCCTTCCCAGGGGAACACGGCTGATCAGGACTTCTTTAAGGCAATTTCAGATCATCCTTCTGTGACCCTGTGGTATTTATCCTCTCTCCCTCCCCGTGCAGTAGCTGGATCACAGCTGCATTCCTTTCGATGGCCTGAGCATCCCACTTCTCACCCAAGCAAAAGGTTATATAGGAGGATGGAGGGAACTTGCTCCCCAAATTACTTGAAGAGACCTGTGATGGCACATGGTTACCAGTGGGGGTCCCACAAGAGCTCTGCATCCGTGAGCATCACCCCGGCGCAGGGGAAACAGGCATCCACCGTATGCACAAGCAGATACGATTGCATTCAATTTATTCTCATAGCAGTACAAGACCTAAAAGCAGGTGTGAAAGCTGAGATATTAATCTCTTCATGTCATGGCAGGAGCTGGACTCGGTGAAGATTACCCAAAATATAATTCGGCCCTGCAGCTGTTAGGAATCTTGTTCAGATGTGCTAAAATGTTGGCACGTGATTATTGAATGCATTGCGTTAGGGAGGTGGACCAGGGAGAAGAGCAGGTAGCGTTAACTTCACTGTTGCTTGGGAAGCCCTTGGAGATGCTTGGATTAATGATGATTTCAAGTTATTTAAAAAAATACAAATCATGCAGCTCTTCGGGTAGTTGCACCAACACACACAGTTCTTTCTCTCTCATCCCAGAAAGCT